TAATTTGATGAGGTCCCACTTGTCTATCTTATTTCTTAAGGTATTTGCCTTTAGGGTTCTGAATAGGAATTGGTTCCCAGTTCCAATTTCCATAAGGGTGTCTCCTGTGTTTCCTTTTTTAGGGGGGGGGTTGGAGTCTCACTCTGTTGCCCAGACTGGAGTGCAGTGGCCACTCCTGGACACTGCAGCCTCGACCTCCTGGGCTCCGATGATACTTCCGCCTCTGCCTTCCAAGTAGCTGGAACTACAGGCGTGTGCTACCATGCCCAGCTAATTTTTTGATTTATTGTAGAGATGAGGTCTCGCCAAGTTGCCCAGGCAGGTCTCGAACCCATGGGCTCAGGCAATCCACTCACCTCAGCCTCCCAAAGAGCGGGATTACAGGCTGAGCCACCAAGTCGGCTCTGTGTTTTCTAAGTTTCTTATAGTTTGAGGTTTTACGTTTAGGTCTTTGATCCATTTAAAGTTAATTTTTGTGTATGGTGATAGGTAAGGGTCCTGTTTCAATCTTCTGCATGTGGTCAACCAGTTTTCCCAGCACCATTTACTGAATAGGTTCTCTTCTCCCCAGTAGTTTTTGTTCGAGGCTTTGTCAAAGATGAGTTGGTTGAGGAATTGAGGCTTTGCTTCTGGAATCTCTAGCCTGTTCCATTGGTCTATGTGCCTGTTTTTGTATCATTATCAGGCTGTTTTGATTACTGTAGCTTCATAGTAAAGTTTGAAGTCTGGAAGTGTGATTCATTCTGCTTTGTTTCTCTTGCTAAGATAGTTTTGTCTATTTGTGGTCATTTATGTTTCCATATGAATTTCTGTATTGTCATTTCCAGGTCTGAGAAGAATGATGTTGGTAACTTAATGGGTATTGTGTTGAATCTGTAGATTGCCTTCGGTAGGATGGACATCTTAACCATGTTGATTCTTCCTATCCATGAGCATGGAGTATTTTTCCATTTGTTTGTGTCTTCTGGGATTTGTTTGAGCAGTGTTCTGTAGTTCTCATTGTAAAGGTCTTTCACTTCTCTGGTTAGGAAGATGTCAAGGTATTTCATTTATTTTGTGGCTATCGTGAATGGGACTGTGCTTTTTATTTGGGTCTCTGCCTGCTAGTTATTGGTATATAGGAATGCGACTGACTTTTGTGTGTTTATTTCATACCCTGAGACTTTGCCAAAGTCCTTTATCAGTGCAAGCAAGTTTTTGACATATTCTCTTGGATTTTCAAAGTATAGGATCATATCATCAGCAAAGAGGGATAATTTGACTTCCTCTTTTCCTATTTGGATACCCCTGATTTCCTTCTCTTATCTATTTGCCTGGGGTATGACTTCCAACACAATATTGAACAAGAGTGGTGAGAGTGGGCAGACTTTTCTTGTTCCAGTTTTCAGGGGAAATGTTTCCAGTTTCTGTCCATTTAGCAATATGTTAGCTGTGGGTTTGTTGTAGACGGCACTTACTATTTTGAGGTATGTTCCTTCTATACTTAGGTGTTTGAGGGTTTTTATCAAGAAGGGATGCTGGGTTTTATCAAAATTTTTCTGCATCTAATGAGATAATTATGTGGTTCTTGTTTTTACATCTGTTGATGTATTTAATGACAATTTATGGTCTTGTGAATGTTGAACTAGCCCTATATCCTGGGGATAAAGCCTACTTGGTCATGGTGGATGATTTTTGAGATGTGTTTTTGGATCTGATTTGCTAGAATCTTGTTGAGGATTTTTGCATCTATGTTCATAAGGGATATTGGCCTGTAGTTCTCTTTCTTTGCTGCATTTTTACCTGTTTTGGGTATCAGTATAATGCTAGCTTCATAAAATGATTTGGGGAGAATTCCATCTTTCTCAGTTGCCTGGAATACTTTCAACAGTATTGGTTACAGCTCCTCCTTGTACATTTTTTAGAATTCTGCTGTAAGGTCATCTGCTTTAGAGCTTTTTTTTGTTGGTAGTTTTTGTATGACAGAGTCAATTTCTTGGGTTATTATTGGTCTATTTAGTGTCTCAAAGTCTTCTTGTTTCAACTTGGATAGGGTGTGTGATGTCAGAAAGTCCTCCATTTCATCTAGGTTATCAAGTTTGTTTTCTTATAGGTGTACATGGTAATCTCAATCTTTTGTATTTCTTCAAAGTCAGTTGTGATTTGATCTTTTGTATTTCTGATTGTGTTTATTTGGGCTTTTTCTCTCTTTTTCTTGGTCATTCTATCTAGGGTCCCATCAATCTTGTTAATTGTTTCAAAGAACCTCCTTTTTTTTTTGAATGTTTTCTATGATATTTTTGTCTTCTATATCCTGTATTGGGCACTTATTTTTGTAATTTGGATTCTTCTGCTAAATTTGGCATTTTGGTGGTTTTCTCTTTCCAGCTCCCTTAGGTAGATTTGTTCGGCTCTCCACTTGTGATCTTCCTATTTGCTTGATATGTACTCACAGAGATATAAATTCTCCTCTTAGAACTGTTTCATGGCATCCCAGAGGTTTTGATAGGATATTTCTTCATTTTCATTCGTTTCCAAGAGTCTTTCAATTTCCTCTTTGCATTGTTGACCCATCTGTTGTTCAGCCTCATGCTGCTTAGTGTCCATGTCTTTGTGGGCTTTGGGGAAATTTTGTTGGTGTTGATATTTATTTTTATTCCACTGTGGTCTGAAAATATGAATGGCAAGATTTCAATCTTATGAAATTTGTTTATGTTTGATTTATGGTCAATGATGTGGTCCATCTTGGAGTACGTTCCATGTGGTGATGAGTAGAATGTATATTCTGTGGTTGTTGGGTGTAGTGTTCTGTAAGTATCAATTAAGTCCATTTGTTCAAGAGTCTAACTGAGGTTCTGGGTGTCCTTGTTGACTTTTTGTCTTAATGATCTGTCTAGGGTTGTGAGTGGGGTATTAAAGTCCCCAGCTATGATAGTGTTAGAGAAAAAAAGAAGTTTGCCTAGAAGCTGCTTTACAAACATTGGTGCTCCTATGTTAGGTGCATATATGTTTAGGATGGATATTTTTTGTTGACGGATTGAACCGTTTATCATTATATAGTGACCTTCTTCATCTTTTTGACTTTTGAAGGCTTGAAGGGTATTTCGTCTGAGATTAAGATTTCAACTCCAGCTTTCTTTTCTGTTCCATTCATCTGAAAATTTGTTTCCCATCCTCTTGAGTCTGTGAGTGTCCTTTCTGGTGAGATGAGTCTCTTGAAGACAATATTTTATTGCCTCATGGTATTTTATCCATTTTGCCATTCTATGTCTTTTCAGTGGTGCATGTGTATTTTCAATTTTTTTCCTGCACTCTTGTGAAGAACATTGTCATTTCTCCCCCTTTTCTTCTGTGTTTAATTCTTTCTTGTGTTTCTTGTAGAGGGGGTCTAGAGGCAGTGTAAGGTCTTAGGGATTGAATGTCTGGAAAAGACTTTAGTTCTCCCTTGCTGATGAAGCTCAGCTTAGTTGTGTAGGTTATTCTTGGTTCAGATTGTTTATCTTTGAGAACTTTGAAGATTAGGCTCCTAGCTCTCCTAGCCTGATGTGTTTCTGTAGATAAATCTGCTGCTGTTCTGATTGGCCTTCCCTGGTAGGTAGTCTGACCTTTTTCTCTTGCTGCTTTTGGGATTTTTTCTTTTATACCTACTTTGTTCAGGCAGACTATTTTGTGCCTAGGAGTTGGTCTTCTCATTTTTGTCTTGCTGGGGTTCTCTGATTCTCTTGTGTTTGAATTTTTGCATTGTTGATGAGGTGAGGGAAGTTTTCTTGAATAATTTCATGGAATGTTTGTTCCATGTGGTCTCTGTCTCACTTTCTCCCTCAGGAAGTCCAATTACTCTTTGGTTTGGCCTCTTGAAATAATCGCACATCTCTTGAAGATTTTGTTTTGTCTTTTTAAGCTTCTTTTCTATGATTTTGAAAGTTTGTTTTAGTTCTATATTTTGGTCTTCAAGTTCTGAGATTCTGTCTTCTGCTTGGCTAATTCTACTTTCCATGTTTATTGGTTTGTTATTTATTTCAATCACAGTATTCTTTACTGCTGTTATCTCAGTTATCAACTCCTTTCTATTTTCCTCTTGTCTCTCCTCCATTCTTTTTATTCTATCTATTAATGTTTTGATATCTGGGTTTGTAGTATGTGCCAGTCATTCTAGGGGTTCTTCATTGCTTGCATTCCAAAGTCTGTTTTTTCAATATCTGATCTCCCAGGGGTCTGTGTGAGACCTATATTCTTCTTTTGACTTTTATTCATTTGTGTAGATTTTCCTCCCCACTTTCCCCTTTTTCCCCATTTAAAAAAAATCTGTTATTCAGGGGTTTTGGGGTTACTTTTACTTCTGTTTGCTCAATCTCCTATTCTTCCTGATGTAGATCCTTTGGCTTTGTTCACTTCTGAAGCTGGACTGTGGGTTAGGGGCTGTTCTTTTTGCAGTTTTGAATTTTATTTGAGGGGAGAGCTGTGATTCAAAATTCATCTGCAGATCCCAGTATCCACTGAGAGGTGTGTGGATATGCTAGATCCTGCTTCCAATGCCTTGTAATCTGTTCATGAAGTGGGAGTATTGGTTCGCTCCCTGAAAGTAGAATGATATAAGAAAAGGGAAAGCAATGGAACAGGGTGGGAGGGAAGAGGAAGGTAGAGACAGAGGAGAGTAAAAGGGAAAACAGACAAAGGTACCCACTAATAAATGAAAATAGACCTAAACAAACTAGGATATACAATCATACAGACATACAAGTTGAACAACCTCCTTAAGATGTACTATTCCCTTACACAAACATGAGGTCTTAACTCCCCAGTTGGAGGTTGGGTAGAGCTGAGTGGGTGAGGCACTGCAGGTCTCTGTCTGGTTACAGGGCTCCAGATGACTTCAGGTGCTACTGCCACCGGGTCTAGCTGGGGGAGGCAGAGTGCAAGACAGCCGGGTGCTGTCGCTGTGTCACATGCAGTTTCGGCCTCTTTTTCTTTCTTTGTTTTTAGGTCCCAAGCTGGAGGCTGCTCAAAGCTGGGTGGTGCTCATGGGGCAACGCAGGTCTCTGCCTGGTCATGAGCTCCAGCTGTACTCTGGTCCTGCTGTGGTCAGGGACAAGTCAGGGGAGGTGGAGTGTAAGACTGCCGGGCATTGCTGGTCAGTGTAGCACTCAGGGTAGCTGGGAGTGGGGTGATGTAGCCAACATGGGGGCCCGGAGCGTCATGGGGAGGGAGCTGAGGCCCCCTGGGGTGGTAGAGGCTTGGGGTGGGGCTGGGTGCTGCAGCCAGGGAGGGAGCCTGGAGCTCTGTGGGGCAGGCGCTGAGGGCCCCCACACAGGTGGCAGCTTGTGCAGGGCTGGGTGCTTCAGTCAGGGAGGGGGTCAGAGATATGAGGGGTGGGCACCTAGGGCTTCTGTTATCCTTTGTGGCCCCAGGCCGGGTGGGGCATTTCAGTCAGGGATGGAGCCTGTAGCTCTGAGGTGCAGGCACCAGGGGCCTCTGTGGGGGTGGCAGCTTGAGGTGGGACTGGGAACTTCAGTCAGGGAGGGGGCCCAGAACTCTGAAGGGCCGACACTGAGGGCTTGGCACTTGGTGAGGTGGTGTAGCCAGGGAGGAAGCTGGGAGCTTCACATGATCAGGAGCCTAGGGCCACCTGGGACAGAACAGTGGTGGCAGC